CCCCCCCCCCCCCGGGGATCATTAGAAGATCAAATAAACTGATGTGCAGGAGGCCTTGGACATGGTGCCTGGTACCCAGAAAATGTTCAACAAAAGAGAGGTGCTATGATGGACTTCTAGGCAAAGCCTGAACGGCTAGATTTTGTGCCCCCCTCCCCGCCCCGGCCCCCCCTCCCTCTGGCTGTTATTGATTAAGAGATGACCTCAGAGTGACCCGGAGAAATAACTTGATAATGAACCGTGGCTTTAGCAGAGTCAACCAGAAGAATTTCCCACCTGGATTGAGTTTCACAGGTGTGATTTTTGAACCAGGAAATCAAGCTGGGTTCCCTGGCAAAACTGTCTCACCCTTGGCGACCGGGGAAACGTCTGACCACCGGGTGACTGGCCCTGCTTAAGCTGTGCATTGTTGCAGAATGGTTCCTGTTTATCGAGGCTTACTTTGTGTCAGTCACTTCACTAAGCATTTTGCACCCACTGTTTCATTTATGCCTTAATACCACCTGGAGAAGTAACTGAGTCCATTTTACAGACAAGGAAATGTAGGTTTAGCGAGACTTAGTACCTTATCAAGGCTCCTTCTGACAGTAATTGGTTTAAACTTAGGTCTATCTGACTTCTAAATCAATCCATCTATCATCTGTCTGGCTACCTATCTACCATCTGTCTAATGGCCTCTCATCTGTCTATTTGATGTGTTAAATACAAACCACTTTGATCTACTAATTAAGACAAGTTCCTTCGAAACCTCGAGACTCTAGGGAAGTCTTTTTTGACCTCAGTTCAAGCTTCTCTTTTGAAAATGTAGAGATGTATTCATGGCTGGAGTTGTGCAGCTACATCATCCATAACACATACACGTGATCTTCTGAGAAGCAAGTTGTTACTCAGAGGCCCCGTAACCTAGGTTAGGAGCCACTCTTGTGTTGGCCACACTTCCGGGGGTTCTGGGAGAGAGAATGGTGTGCTGTGTCCTCTCCCTTGGGAGGACAGACAATGCCACTCTCGTTCTGCGTCGAGCTCCCTCTGCTGCCACGAACAAACCTAGTTGACCAGAACGGTCTCACTTTTCAATGGGAAGCTGTTGGGCGAGAGAGGAAGTGTCAGAACATCAGATCAGCCTGACTTGGTTGCGACAGACGGCAGAGGAGCAAATCTGCCTTCCCGAAGGAAAAACATCACTAGCCATTGGTGGAGGGAATTTGGCTTTTGGTTCCTAACTGGAGAAGACAGCTACTTGTCAAATGGCGTGGAGTCGACTGGGGAGCCAGTGTGGCTATGTTCCCACTTAGCGATGTTTGGTTTTCTCTCCAGAAATGTACTTTATTTCCTCTAAATTCGTATTGTAGCTCATCTCAGATTAATAAAGTTTCCTCTATTAAAGGAGGCCCTTAGAGAGTCTACTTTATTACATTAAATGGGTTTTAATTAGTCAGAGAATGAGTTCTCTCAGACTTAAAAAAATGTGTTGTCAAATATTCCAGTGGAAATATGGTTGGCTTTATTTATTTAGTAACTTTGAAAAGACAGTCACTTCCTGTTTATATTATCAGAAATTAATTCAGTCTTGGGGTACCTGGGTGGCTCAGTTGGTTGAGTGTCCAACTCTTGGTTTCGGCTCAGGTTGTGATCTCCCCATTCGTGAGTTCAAGTGCCGCATCGGACCCTGTGCTGGCAGCTGGGAGCCTGCTTGGGATTGTCTCTCTCCCTCTTTCTCTGCCCCTCCCCGCCCCCCTGCCCGCCCCCCCCCCCCGTCTCTCTTAAAATAAATACGTAAAAACTTTAAAAAATCCCCCCCAAAAAAGAAATTAATTCAGTCTTAAATGTCATTGAGGTTTATGGATTAAAAGAGAGGAAAAAATAATGTTTTCCATTTTTTAAAAAAGGTATACATTATTTACTTATTATTTAAAACATTCTTTAATGTTTATTTATTTTTGAGAAAGAGAGAGAGAGTGGGGGAGGGGCAGACAGAGAGGGAGAGAGAGGATCCAAGCAGGCTCTGCTCTGTCAGCACAGAGCTTGATGTGGGGCTCGAATTCATGAACGGTGAGATCATGACCTGAGCTGACGTTGGACACTTAACCTACTAAGCCACCCAGGCACCCCAATAATGTTTTTCTTTTGCACATAAATCTTTTTGCATTAAAATAAAAATAAGCTAAAGTAGTATAATAAAATATGAAATGACCACAATCTCTTAGGGAAGTGGATGTATCGAGAGACGTTTTGACGTGTTGAGGCTGGAGGAAAGGGCCCACTATTTTTCATTGCTTCATTCTCAGGCCCTAGCATTAGGTCAACAGGCGGTCTGTGCTCAGCACTTGTTTACTGAGTGGAAATAAG